CGGATTAGTAGGCTCCGAGACATTTGAAGCTGACCACCAAGTAGTATTTTTAGTATTAACATTATAGGCTTTTTGTCCCAAGCAAGTTAGCTCACCTACAGGCGTGTTATACATTGTCCCTTTCCTGGCTATACAAACATGACCTATAATGGAGGTTTTAAACCGCCATTCCGATTTACTTCTAGTACTTACTTGATGATCAGACTGGAAAGGTATCTGTTGTTCATATGTCTCAGAGCCAGGGTACCATATTTCCTTTGCCTCCCATGGCCACTGGCCTCCCATATTAGTACCTCCACACACATAGCAATTAGTTACATTAAGACTACCTGCAATACCCTCAGCCAAATCAATAAATAGGTTCTTAACATTATGGGGAATTTTATCCTCAACACTCATCTCCTCATAAAAGGAATGAGAAACCTGATGAGTTTGAGTTGCCACTGTCTCAGTTTCAAGACCTACATATATTATTGTTCCTGAATCTACTCCTGTGCCATATATTTGGAACCCAAACAGACCTCCAAACCTGTCAATAAAGTACTGCAGATTGGAAATGGTCATGTGAACGGGGTTGCACACATAGTTTTACAGTATGGTGTGGTAGGCAACCTTTGGATAATCATATCTTGATCCACTGTTTTCCCCAGGTTGCCCAACCTACACATGACCAATAGGGGCAGAAGTTAGTCTCTATTTGGGCAATCAGGATCAGTAGATCTTTTACTGGGACATAAGTATTTATCATTAACCCATAAGTTTGTTCCCATTTAAGATTACCACATACATTCCAAGGTTTTCCACTACCCGAAATCGCCTTACATGCATCAAATAGTAGAATACCTGTGGAATGTATGGTGCTTATCACAGTCCTATTTATTAATGTCCCCTGGGAGTTACTATTCCGAATTACCAACCAAATTGTACGGGGTTGGAATTGGGGATCGAAACATTTAGACTCTCCTGATATTGGCTTGCACACACTATAATCAATATCCAAATATCTACATTTAGATACAGATCCCTTACATTCATACTGTGAGTGCCAGATGAGAGTTTTGGATATTTGGTTACACATAATACACATAATAAAACACATTATTCCTGAAATCCTCATTTTTCTTCGACCGTGCAATGGCCCCTCAGCTTCCCGAATGTGAGGGCTAAAAGGATGTTGTTCTTCTGATCCTCACTTTCCTTCACAGAGATCCCTTCGAGACACTCTGGCTATGACACGTAGGCAGGTGGTCAGGCTTTATTATGGCCGTCAAAACACCTACTTAATGATCTTTGTAGACTTTCAACTAGAATGTCTCGATATCCCCTCGTCACTCCGACTGAGTTGCACGCTTCAACCGGGTCCTGCAAGGATTCTCAGGATCTGGAGTAGCTTGCCAAGAGTCTGCCGCTGGTTTAACCTTAGAATGATGAATCCAAGGAGTCACTTCCGCCACCTTTACAGCTATTGGGATAGATAAAAGAACAACATACAAAGGCTAACAGAATACACCCCGAGCTTTAACTCAATATGTATTGGTGGGATATTACGAGCAAGTCCTGGAGGATTATTTTCTTCCCATACTCCTGGAATGTCAAATAAGGATTCATCACTCTTAGGGTTAATACTTGTCACTATGGAATAGAAGCGTCATTCTTCTTCCCTTGGCACCGATATCACCATTATGCCTGGTAACCCCTTAAACTTCAGAGATGTTGATCCATTAGGTAAAAGGTTATCTGAGCTTAAAGCTTCGATAATAGATCTCGTCCTAAAAGTTGAATCGGACACTCTGGCATATATAGGAACTAATGCTTCACCACATGGCCTCCCAGAATACAAGCGCGACTCTTAAGAACCGGTCTAGCTGCACTTCTCCCAGTAGCTCCTATCACAGTTATAGTCTTCCCCGAAGGCGGAGCCACCATCTTAGTCACCACAGAATGTTCAGCACCTGTGTCGATCATGAAAGAACTTCTCTTTCCCCCTATTGCTACATCGACCATAGGCTCCGCTCGACCAAGTGGGATGGAGCCCAGTCGGTATCAATAGTCTTCCATGATAGTGTCAGCCAGACCCACAAAATCTCTATCTTCTCTTTCTCTAGGTCTCTGCGTGGGTAGATAGTATCTGTCTCCTTGAACACTTCCTCTACTATCCCCATCATTCCCTCTAAAACTTCCTCTTACTCTATAACTACCACTATAACCTCCTCGTACCCTTCTCTCTCCTTGTCTATCACCTTCATACTGCTCTCTCTGTGGAAACTCACTCTTCCAATGTCCCTCCTTTCTACAATACGCACATTAATTCCTACTTAAAGTCCCTTGCTCAGCCTATTCTCGTCTCCTCTATTCCCTTCCCTGTCTTTCTACACTTAAGATAGCTACCGCTAGCATATCTGCCTTTTTCCTCATTTTACGTTCTTCCTCCATCTCCCTATTCATATATACTGTATTTGCAATCTCCATTAGCTGTATTATGGACATCCCTACAAATCCCTCTAATTTCTGTAATTTCCTTTTAATATCACCTTGGGCCTGGCTGACAAATGCTGAGTCTATCATTCGGAAGTTTTCAGGGGCTTCAGGATTGAAAGGAGTGTACAATCTATTTGACTCAAGCAGTATCTAACATGGGACTTCGGCAAGGCTGCTCAATAATAGGTTCCAGTCTAGGAGTAGTAAGATAGGTGTAAGGGGGTGAGCTAATTTTATTAGTCGGCATTTGGTGGATGAAAAAACGTTTTTGTTTAAAGTGTTAAACCAAAAACCTACCAGTAGGTATCACCAGAGGGTAATTGTATCAAAATAATCTTTATGGGTCTAATAAGAAAACTCAACTTTTAATATATTTATACATAAAATAAAACCTTATAGCAATAAATATATTAAAATAGGGTAAGCAATCCTACTTCTATCTGTTATAAACAATGTATTATTATCAATGTAACTCCCGAAGATGGCCAGTAGGTGGCCTAGAGTGCCTCCCTAAAGTCAAATGAAACAAATAGACTTTAATTAATTATGTCCTATTTTATTATTACTTATTTTAATCAATGTCCACCCTGATAACTAGGCTTGATTAAATCTTTAGTTCTAAGGTAAATTAAACATTTCAGTTTGTAGTTTAGTAAAAAGGGGACATTTTGGACAAAGCTGGGAGGGGCCCATCCAGTAACTAAAAAAACCAATATACCATCTGATACCATTGATCATTGATTAGGGGGAGGGGTAGTACAGAAATACAAGAGTTTGAAACACAGGAACAGATAGGTATGTGGGTAGGCGGGGACAGTAGAGCAGGGGGAGTGCAAATACTGACTATATACCAGTTCTTAGCTTGGGAAAAAGAATAGGGGCGTGGCTAATCTGGCTCTGGAGGATGTTTGGGGGGTTGGTAATCAGATGCCAGGGGGGGAGGGGATGTCCAAAGCAGTTGTAACCACCATATGGCTACATTGTTTCCCATATGACACAGTTTAATTCACCAAGGCAGTTTTTCAACAATCAGTTTCCAACAGTCAATATATAGAAACTGATCATAGAATTCCAGCCTACTAGTTACAGCCACATGTACACCCTGCACTAAATTTAAGTGAAGACTGCTACATGGAGGCCATGCGGCCACCAGGACAGGCTACTCCCTACTTTTTTTTTTTTTTAAAACATACAAGACAAAAGACTAACAGCCTTGTGAATCAGAAGATCATTTCAACAGAACGTCTGATTCAAAAAGCTGTACAAATATACACACAGTTTCAACAGTCACACCAATCTCCTTATCACCAGCAACACATTGCGCAGTCACTAGGCCCAAACACACACACAGGATCCTCACATGCTCAACAATATCACGACGTCGCACACACGAAATTAAATTAAAAAAAAAAACACCAAAGACAATACACTTATCAATGTAACTATTATTCAAACCATACAACTATCCACGCTATTAATCCATATAAACTAACCGATCACATAACATTTCAACAATTTCATCTCTACAATAATCCGTACTATAAATAAACTTTTACTAACCAACTATATCACATTCTAGTAACCTCATCTTTACAATCAGTGGTTATGGTACAGTTAGTAAGTGGTTATAATACAGTTTTAAAGTCACAGATCAGTTAGTAACAGTTATGGTATTATACATATAACATAAAACAGCAATTGTTAGTAATTTTACACAATGTCAGTGGTTATGGTACATGTCAGTAGTTATGGTACCGTGCGCTATTTTACAGTTATACACACAATTTACACTCCCACTAGACAGCAGAGCTCTAACTTTCTAGTAGGACATACAAGTTAACCAATTCACCAACTACAATATATTTAACAACATTTACAATAATCCTAACTATTCTAACTGGCCAGCACCTCGAGAGCTTTCGATCTATTTATACACCAGAGATTCGATAAGTTCTTCGCTGCCCAGACACCACGTATAGCGAACTAGAGGGCAGAATTTACACAGTACCCAGCTAGTCTATTAAACTATCAATAAGCTAGTGGCTGGATTTACAACAGAGCACACTTAGTTAAGATAGGGTGAAATCTAGCAAACTATAATATACAACAGAGTATGCTTGTCTCCTGGTCCCCCCGACCTAGCGAACAAAATTTACACCCTAGATACGCTAGTCAAGACAGGACACCGGTGTCCGACATGAGCTATTTACACCAGAACTCAGTCTGACCCAAACCACCTATATTAGACGGGCTGACTACAGAGCGTCTAATTTCCAGATAAGCGTTGCGCTTTCGCTTCTTCCTTCCAATGAAGGGGCCAATACCAATAACCGGTTCCAAATATAAAACCCCTTGTGGGTCTACCGCTCTAACGGTATCAATCTTACCTGTTAATTTCTGGACCTGGGTTCACTCATAGACGGAACAATCCGGGACTCACTGCGCAGAAGCCGATGATCTCCTGGACAAAAGGCCAGTGGCGCCGAGACGAAAGGAGGTCCACGCAGTAGAAGTCCAGGATTGTAGCGTAGAAGGTTTGGTAAAAGTTTACCGTCTCAAATCTCTGCGCCAGCTTCCATGCAAATGAGGTTCCCGGCCCAATGCACCAGAGATGTTGCAGTGTAAGCATGCAGAAGCCAAACACAGAAATATTGGACACAGGTCTTCAGGAAGTAACAGGCCTTTATTCACATTACCGATCGGGTCTCAGATGAACTCCTGTTCCAACATTCTGAGAGACCAACACATAGTGTACATTCCTTATATAGCACTATAACTCCTCCCATTAATAGCTACACCCACATATACCTTTAACCAATCAATGAGCAGAATATAGACTTGTACATCTAGTCAAACCACATGGCTCATCCAAGACAAAGGAAATAAGTGCAATTTCAGTTCCTGCATTCCTGCACATGCTCAGTACACTGATGACAGTATCCTAGCTACATGTAGCTAACCAACTGACACAACATACACATATGCCACATGGAGATTTTGGCCTACTAAATTTTGACCATGCTGGAATCCCATCACAGTATTACTATGTATTATTGTTTATCTTGCTATAGCTGTTGTGGCATACCGGGAACATTCGTTATTCTGACCACAGCGAAAAATAAAGATTGACACAATGTAACATATTCTTTATCTTTATTACGATAAAAATATCTGTTCTTATAGAAATTCAGTTAAAATGCCCCTGAACATTTCGATTTCCCATTATTAATGCAGAAACTGAGGCCCATACTTCCCAAGTGTCCCAATTAAGGAGGGATAGTCCCTATTTTGAGCCCAAACCCCCTGACCCTTTTTTCTATCCTAATGATCGTCTTGTCTAGGAGCTCCATATTGTTGGTGTGTCCGAGTGTTTAACAGAGCTCCACAGTAATAAAACTCACAGCAATGTATATTAAAAGTACAATACATGTGTTTACAAATGTCTGTGTAAATGCACCATTCCTAAATAACAACTACAGCTCACTGTACTGGTTTTATGGTAACAGTAATGCCCTGACAGTGCCTCAGCAGCTGTCCCTGGTCCAGTTACTCCTGGGAGGACCATAGCAGCTGCCCCACTGTGCCCTCAGCCTGCAACAATTTTTTTTAGAATCACTGATCCTAAAATAAATTATTGCAGGCAGTGGGCCTGCACGCTGAGGAGGACCATCGGTCGGCCCATGTACTTAAGACCACCCAATGGGATTGTGTCCTCATGGGCCTGGTCGGCGCTATGGCCCTTTAATGGTGCAAACGGGCCTCCTGTAATGATGTCAGTGCTGGGAGGAAGTGACAGGCGGTCACTTCCTCCCAGCTAACACGAGCACCACGTTGGAGGGAGGAGGAGGAGAATGCAGAGTAAGAACCTTTGATTCCCAACATCATCAACCAGCCACAACCAGGGAAGCCACCCTCCTGCACCTAAAAGTTAGGAAACAGGATGGTAGCTAAAAAAAATTAACTTTTTACATGTTTGTCTGTTTGTGTATCTGCATGTGTATCTGTCTGTGTTTCAATATGTGTGTGTGCATGTGTGTCTGTGTGTGAATGTGTGTCTGTATGTCTGGATGTGTTTATGTATGTCTGCATGTGTGTCTGTATATTTATCTGTGTGTCTGTATGTGCATCTATGTGTTTGCATGTGTGTGTGTGTGTGTGTGTGTGTATATGTGTATCTGTGCATTTGTCTCTATGTATATCTGTGTCTGTTTATCTGTATGTGTATATATGTGTGTCAGTGTATCTGTTTGTGTATCTGCATGTATGTCTGTATGTGTGCATGTGTATCTGTATGTGTCTGTATGTATCTGCATGTGTCTGTGTATGTGTGTGTCTATATATCTGTTTGTCTGTATGTGTATGTATATGTGTATCTGCATTTGTGTAATTGTGTGCCCGTGTTTGTATCTGTATGAGTGTCATTCTGTGTATCTGAATGTGTTGTTTTTTGGGGGGTGGCGGTATGGAGGTCTGTGATTGCATGCCAGATGGTGAGGAGGGGGCAGGTTCCAGAGGGCCAAGCAAAATGCTTGCCCAGCATCCAATCAATATTAAAGATGGCCCTGTGCGCTGTAAAGGAGTTGGTCTCTATGGGCAGGTAAGACAAGCTCCTTCACAGGTATAGGGACTGGGCAGCTATGCTGGTGCCTCCTCCCCCAAATCTGTGGCTGTGCAAGGAGCTGCTGGCTGCTGCTGTTTTTCTCACACATTCTAAGAGTTGGAAATTCTCTGCAACACAGCCCGGGCCAGGCTCTATCAGGGCCGTACCTCCCTGATGGCAGCCCTGGTTAAGAAACTTTTAAGTCCCCTAAAGCACCTTAGTTTGCTGAAGTGATTTAGGGTTAAAGCGGCACTTTTCCAAATTTGCAAAGTCCCCTGATGGTTACATTGCCGCTGGTGTTCCGGGGAGTGGCAGGTAAGGGTGAGATTACTTACCTGAACCTGTCCCTCGCAGACACCGCCATTTTGCTTGCTCTGCACCCCTTCAACAGCTGGCGTTTCAGTAATCCGTTTTTTTTTTTTCAATAATTCCAGGTCCAAGTGACTCTGTCCAACGTCATGAATGAGTTCAGGATCTACCGGTTTCTTTCTAGCCTTAAATTTACTGGATTATTTACTAAAGTGAAAATTCACTTTGAATTCCCACTTTAGTGAGTAATCCTGTTACTATTTTTGTTTCAGAACAAGCTGCTTCTGACTGAGTTGGCAGAACCGTTGCCTTACTCCAGGTGCAAGGAACAATTAAATAACTGGAAATGTGAGTACAGAAAAAGCTACCACAAGTCCAGTCATTTTCTGCATGTTTGCCAAACCAGCAGGGTATTGTTTGCTACTGGTCTTTTAAAGGATCACTATAGTGTCAGGAAAACAAACTCGTTTTCCTGGCACTATATAATCCTCAGGAACCCCCCACCCTCAGGGTCCCCTCCCTTGGCGCTGAAGAGGTTAAAACCCCTTCAGCCTTGTACTTTTATCCAGCGCCGGCCTCTCCACCATGCCGACGTCGTCTCCCGAGTGGAGGGGAATGCGCATGCGCAGCAAGCGCTGCGCGCGCATTCAAACAGTCCATAGGAAAGCATTTCTCAATGCTTTACTAAGGACGTTCTAAACGTCGTTCAGGAAGACAGCCACTAGAGGTTGGATTAGCCCTGCAATGTCAACATAGCAGTTTCTCTGAAACTGCTATGTTTACATCTGAAGGGTTAAAACCTGGGGGACCTGGCACCCAGACCACTTCATTGAGCTGAAGTGGTCTGGGTGACTATAGTGTCCCTTTAATGTGATTTGAAATGTGTGCAAGGCCAGCATGTTAGCCGAAACATAAAAGATGTATTACTTTTATTAAATGTACATTTAACTACTTTGGCATGAATTTTGAAATCCTACAACATCCTATTTAGTAAATAATTCCCCTGAACTTAATATCCCATGTTTAAGAACCTGATTATTCTTCATCTTTTCCCGATTAATGCTAATGACGCTCTTCCTAGAATCATTTTCACCTTAATGGAGGAAGCTATGAAAATAGCCAAACATCCATCAACTGTACCATTGCTGCAGCTGTTTCCTTCATTTGTATAACGGAAATTAAGATAAAATGTTTGCACATGTGTTGAAACAATGATATATGTCCTTAGATAACTTAACAAGCATTGTAAGAAATACACAAATCCCAAATATGTCACTTTCTGGATGTGTTGGGAAATGTCTCCTACAACAATTTGATCCTTGCACCAGTTTTCTGATTGCTGAATGACGATAATAAAGGAAACGTAGGAAAAGTTCATAAACAAATTTAATGATAAAGTAATAATACAATTTATTATGATTATGGGCATGATTATGAATACTTATTTTATTCTTTTGACCTTAAACTGGAAAGAGTAAGTCGAAAGAGTATCGCTGATGAAATAGGTGTTTTTCAGGTATGTTAAACCTAGTCAGGTAGTAAATATAAGGCAGGATTGAATGCTGGTTCATCAGGGCATTTAGCAACCTAAGTCTGGATGGTCCTCCCTGATCCGAGTCCTGACAGTGCTCCAATAATATCAGTGACCTCATTGTGTCTATAACTCATGTGACACGGAAGCTCACCAGAAAGCACTGAATACAATGCTTTCCCAAGGGGAAGCTTGTATGTGTGCACTGAGCTCGCCACTCATGGCATCTGGACCACAATGCTTTTCTTTGAGCATTGGATTGGATTATCAGGGAGGAGGCCATGCCTCCTCAATGGCACCATGGGAGATAGAGAGATGAATAAAACTTTGATTTTACAAATTTTTATGGGAAACAACGGCACTGACCTATATAGAACTAGGGACTGGGGCACTATAGGGTTAGGGATACAAGTATGTATTCCTAAAACTATAGTGATCCTATAATAGTTATTGCAGTTTTAGATTTTCCTAATTGATTCTGCTGTCACCATTTATGCTGAGCCTCTAGTATTTCTCCAGATCCCTCAGTTTACAGCTTTATTTAAGCAGTAACTATTTCACTCCTGAGTTATTGCACCATTCTCCTGAAAGGATGTCCAGTTACCCAGCTGTCGACTCTGCAGTCCATAATAATTAAGGCAGCCAGAGACCCATCTTCCATCTGTTTGCCTGCAAGTATCATTTTATTTATAAAGGAATCAGTTAATATATCACAGAGCTGCACAACGCGCAAGCAGAACATTCATGTAATATGACAAAACAAATTAGGCTAATGTAAGCAAGTGGTGGTACACTGAAATGCATTTAAAGGACCACTATAGTGCCGGAAAACATACTCGTTTTCCTGGAACTATAGGGTCTCTAGGTCCTCCCCACCCTCAGGGTCCCCCTCCCGCCGTGCTCTAGGGGGTGGAAGGGGTTAAATTTACCTCTTTCTCCAGCGCCGGGCGGGGAACTCTCCTCCTCCTCTTCGCCGTCACTGGCTGCATGCGCAGCAGGAGCGGTGTGCGCATTCAGCCAGTCCATAGGAAAGCATTTTCAATGCTTTCCTATGGACGCTGGCGTCTTCTCACTGTGAAAATCACAGTGAGAAGCACGGAAGGGCCTCTAGCGGCTGTCAATGAGACAGCCACTAGAGGCTGGATTAACCCATTTGTAAACATAGCAGTTTCTCTGAAACTGCTATGTTTATAGAAGAAAGGGTTAATCCTAGATGGACCAGGCACCCAGACCACTTCATTAAGCTGAAGTGGTCTGGGTGCATATAGTGGTCCTTTAAGCTCTGACGAGAGCTTTATCTATAGGATTATCTGACAGCCACAGAAAAACAAATATAACATCTATAATGAACTCATGTGAGTATTTGGTGCATGTGAGTATTTGGTGCAGAATTGTACCTATCAAGAGCTCCATTTTCCTGTGGGTCAGTGTCTTACACAATCACACCTACATTGCTTCTGTCCATGCAGCTTTATCTACACCTCCCCTGGCTGTGACTGACACAGTCTGCATGAAGGTTTTATTAAAATGGTTTCATTTTCAATCACAATCCTGTTCTGTAAATTAAACTTTAATTAACACAGGGCTCCTGCAGGATCTAGAAGGCTGTTAACAGATACAACATTCTAGATTAAACACACTGTGCTATAAAGGAAGTTTAAACATTAGAGCTCACTTTAAAGAAAATGTTTAGGAAGGCTGTGTAAGTCAGGCAGGGAGCTGTAACTAGAGCTGTATAAACAAGGTTATTTAACTCTTAAATGGCAGAGAATTTAGCAGTGAGACTGCAGGGGCAAATTCTATACACCAAAACTGCTAAAGTTATTTTAGTGACTATACTGTCCCTTTAAGTTTTTCCCTTGGCCACATTAATTTATTTTTATATGTAATATTTACTAGCTTTACGTTATTTTATGTCTTTCCATTGCGTCAAAACGTTTCTCTTTTACTATTTAAAAAAAATAATAATAATGTGCCTTTGTCACAATTTTTTGGGTCATGTGCATTATATATCATGATTATTATTACAGGATAACTACATAGTACAGGATATAGTGCCAAACAGGTAACTATTGTTGAAATGATCACTTTCCTGAAATTTTGTCTTTTATCTTTTTGAAGAAAGATTTGGTTTTATCCACAAAATTTTTGGCTTTTTTGATTTGCACCTGCACTGGGAAGTGATCGCTGACTTCCAGAGCCTGAAAATAACAACAAACAAACAGACGCACATTAATGTGATTCCTAGGGACACGATGGTATACACAAAGCTTAGGGTAGACATACACCAAACAATAAAAAGAACCCGAACACAGTGGCTAGTTTGGAAATAATGGTTTCAATGGGTCTTTCAAAGTATGTACAATAGTACAATTCAAATTGGTCACTGATTTACAAGATGCAACGCTGATCTTCTGCACCATTGCACCATTGCACCAGTGAGACCATTTTTGAGAGTGATCCAGCAAAAAGTTAAGATAGGAGTCTCTAGAACAATCATAAGGCATATAGCAAAGTGTATTCGTACAAAATACTAATTTAACAATCTTTTTTCCAGTTGTCCCCTACCCAGTCCTTAAATACTTCATTACAGTCCAGGATTTAGGGATTACTCAGTTATGTGTCTAAGATGTTTAAGAAAAAAAAAAACATGTTAGACACAACAGGGTAATCCCTAAATCCTGGACTGGTAGGGGGTACTTGGGAAACCCTGTTCTATTCCACAATACTAGTTGCTGGAGTCACTGGATTATAATTGTGGAGCCACGGTTCATAGAGTGCAACCAGAGTCACAGATTTTAGTGTTCCTAATTTCAGTACCACGAGGCATGGTGACTAGGTAGAAATATATTTTTACTCAATAGGATGTAGAAGGAAACCGACACAAGTAAAATGCTGGACCTCCATTGCAAATCTATTGAACAGCATTGAAATTGCCATTAGACACTACTTGGTTCAATTATCTGCTCCCACATTGCAACCCATCATCAAATCATGGTACCTGAGTTTCCGTCAGTCCAAATTCTTTTATGAAATCAAACACACTGGCTGAGTCAGGGACTATAGATTTCATCATCTTATCCCCATGAACCACGATCCTGAAAAAAAAAGAAGCCAACAGCATACTCTGTTTGAAAGAGGTATTCTCACGGATTCTAAGCTGGAAATAAAATAAAAGGTTTAATAAAATGTTTTTAATGAAAGCACATTTTTATAAAAGGCTTACTACTCTTTTTCACTCTTTTTTTTTCAATTAAATTGTTTTAATAAATAAAAAAAAAAAGCTTAGTTCCAATGGGATCTATTGATTCTACAACCCAACTTGAATCATGCCACGTCACTTTGCGGTCCAATCAAATGCCCTGGACAGTTTTCAATGCTGAGAACATATAAGCGCATGCTCTCTGAGCTGGTGAGTCGAAAGAGTGAAGTAGAGAGTGCAGGATGGACAAGCTAGGAAATTAGTTTTTAAAAAAGGAAGGGAAGACTTAAGCTTCCCCTTATAGGCAGACTCCTGGTACTCGTAACAAGGACAGAATGTCTGTTGTCTGTGAACAGTGAACTTTGTCGACAAGGATATATATTTTTTTTGCAAAGAATTGACATTTGGCTATCCAGAACATCGTTGCCAAAGTCATGTTTCAAATTCATGTGCACACGAGGTGTAACTAGCCATACCGGTGAAGTTTACTTAAATAAAAAAACAATATTTAATTAAAGCATTTTTTTTTTGGTTGGAGTAACTCCTTAATGGAGCAAATATCTATGTTACTTTAGTGCATTATAGAATTAGTTTAGATTTCATATTTTAAATTGCTGTGTTTATTTAAAAAAAAAATATTAATGTTATAATTCATGCTTTTCACAATGGTTTATTCTATAATAACTCTGTTCGTGCGGGCACTTTATGAATTGGGATTTCACTGTAATTTAAGGGAATTGTGTTGTCGTGTTTGAGCACTTTTTATAGCTTTAATCATTGTAATGTTTTTAGATTGCTTTTAGAGAGTTTTAAGTGTGCTTTCTGGGCTTATTTATTTTATTGTAGAACTATTACCTGTCATATGCACAGTTGGTGGTGCTCTTAATTGTTGTATCATCGTTGTCCCCAATTAGCCAGATAAACTCTGGATTAGACCTCAGCCGTATGTTCTTCCAGTGTTTTTTGGGAACATAGGAACAACCTGCATTGAAATCACCCATGAAAATAAAATTCTATAAGATAAAAAAAAAAAGTAAATTATGTTACATATTGCTTGCAAAGTATTGTTAATGTTAGAACCACATCAGTACAACTAGCTAATTATCTATGAAGATAGTATGATACAATGGGGTTTAACAAATTAGGGGACAACCTTTTTAAAGTGGAGCAATCAGCAAGAACGTACTGTGAGTTTCAATGGTGATCATGATTTCATGGTGGTTATTCTACTTTTAGACTAAACCTCTATGTGTACTGTTGTATAGAATACAGTTGTATTTCCTTTATAGCACCGTGTGTTTAATTTGACTTAGTTCATTTCAGAAAGGAATCTTTCGTAGCTCTTGTCACGTAAAGCGGAGGCCCCCAAAGGATAGCATTTATTCAATGCTTTCAATGGGGAAGACTAGATGTGCATCAGGTTGCCAATGATCCAATGTGAGGAGCATTAGATTGGACCACCCTGGAGGAGGCCATGCCTCCGCTGTGACATTGCGGGAGAAGGAGAGGCATCAGCGCTGAGGAAAAACGTGAGACAAACTTGAAATTTCCTAAAATTCCCCTGCTCATTGGGGGAGAAGTTAATATACAAAGGGACAGGGACAATAGTGCATTAGGAATCCAGGTTTATATTCTTAACTCTTTAGTGTTCCTTTAAAGCACCATAACCAGTGACAAAACTAAAGAAGAGAGGGCCCTGGTAGGAAAAAAGTGTTGGCCCCCCATAGAGCAAAAGTTAGTTCCGCTGCTGACCATAACAACTACAGCTTGCTGCACTGCAGGGCGTAGCTAGCAGAAATTCCCTGCAGTTCCACTTCAATCAACAGTGAATACAGTGTTAGTTTTACCTCTGATTTCCATTTCTCTTTTACATCAAGGTGAACATCATATAGTTCATCGATCTCTCGAACGGCGGCTTCAGGAGTTGTGTGCTGAGGGATGATGACAAACTCTTTCACTTCTTCGTCGTGGAATAAAAGGGAAATAGTTACTTGTGAAAGGAGAAACTTAAAACCTGAGAGAGGATTTTAACAAATTTCCAAATTAGTAAATTAGAGAACTTTGGTTATCAAAGATAAGTGGGTTAAACAAACTAGACATTGTCCAAAATTAGACCAGAGAAAACATAAATAAAGAAGACAGTGGTTTCCCTTATGGAATATAACCGAGCCCTGTCCGTGCTTGATTAAGGGTGGAAAAACAGAACTTGCTCAAATATTTTATCTTGTGCTTAGAACAAATTCCTCAACATGCAACAGGTTGTGTCTTTTTTTGTCCTTGCATCTCACTTTGTATATTTTCAAATATTTTATCTTGTTTAGTGATGGCGCATGAGGACAGGAGGATTAACTATATTCCTTTTAATGTCATAAAATATGTTGTAGAATCTGATACGGTTCACAGTATTAGCATGGCTTTATAAAAGACCGATCATGTCAAACTATCTATAAAGAATTCAGTTAAAGTTTGGATCAGTGAATTGCAATGGATGTGATATATTTGGATTTTCCTAATGCCTTTCATACAGTTTCTCCTAAGCAGTTAGTGTACAAATTAAAAGCAATTGGTGTAGATGAAAATTCTTGTTCTTTGATTTCCACATATGTCTGGCTTAACTTCTCTGTTTATTAATGATCTTGCAATAAGTCTTGACTGTAATGTGCCCATTTGTGTTTGCAGATGACACAAACTAGGCAAAGTAATACAGTGTGAGAAGGATATTATGTTGCGGTTCCAAGGGATTAGTACAGATTTGGTGACTGGGCATCCAAGTGGCAGATGAACTTTAATGTAGATAAATGCAAAGTTATGAATTTTGGAGTGAGGAATGCACAAACACCGTAAATCTTAAATGGTACTAAGTTAGGGGAAAAAAATAAGTATTTGGAAATATTTATAGACAACAGGGTATGCAACAATGTGCACGGTCATGTAGCAGTTGCTAAAACCAGTAAAATATAGTCATGCTCAAAAACGGGTATTAATTCACAAAACAGATCATTTTGCATCTTTATGAATCAATGGTAAGAGCCACCCATAAATAAGGTACCATTTTGGACATCTATTTTAAAGAAAGATGTTATGGAACTGAACATAATGCAAAAGTGGAATGAATAAGGGGAATCCTACCAAGGTTGCTCTATCTGTTCCAGGTCCTACTGCTGTAGGTCACTAAGCGGGATCTGGAGGCTCCTCAAAAGGTAATAGACTTTTTCATGAGTGGTAATAAGAGACACAGGTTGGCGAGAAATATGTTCTACAAACGAATATGTTGTATAGCACAGAACTTACTGACGTACAACTATTCACCCCAGCTTGCACAAATGGTGATGTGGCATGCTCCACCAGGGGAGAGAAGGTGAGAGGATTATGAATCCTATTTGATGGGGTTGGATCTCTTTAAGTACTACATGTGGCTAAATAAACCCCAGAGGGCCCTACTACGCACAATATGCCCATCGATTCTGACGTCCCTCCATTTGGGACAGGATAAAATAAAAATTCCAATTTACTTCTGGCTCTTCACCAATGATCCCAATCCTTAGTTATAGATATTTCAAAACCCTCCCCCCACCCAGAATGCTACAACAGGATTTTAGGAATATAGAGGTAGTGGGGATACAGCGTTACCATTCCGCAGTAACTACCTATGAGCCCAGAAGAATACAGCCCCTACAAACACTTAGGGACCTTTTTTGATATATACAGTTCAGAGATTTTGCCATTCAGCCAGCAGTGCGTAGAGCAGAAAAACAGTGCCCCACACCATTTAAAATATTGTTCCTTTAAGGAAACTGTCAGAAGGGATTAGTGTCTCAGTTATGTTTGTACATATGCTCTCACTCCACTGTCTGGGGCCCAATGAGATACGTCGCACGATGGGCACAAAATCTTGGGGGTGAGGTTGAAGTAAGGGAAGACATATGGGAGGCAGTGGCAATGGTTTAATTATGCCTTAAAGCCCAGGAACAACTACTAGAGGGTCTTCCCAAAGAAATCACAGAAACTCCTCAATAAAATCATTTTGTTGCCAGAGGAGCTATTGCCGCATCATGGTTGACAGCTTCAGCCCCTTCCTTAAGGGAGCAGACATTGAGGACCACCAGCTGATGGACAACTGATGACCACCATACAAAACACATTTCCAGCCTTTTAGAAAGTTTGGGACCCTTGTTGAGACTTTTCCTTCACAACAGCACACAGGTTACTGCCATAGGGCTTACTCTGATCTCATTGCGATGGTACTCCTTCCCCCCCACCCTGTGTTTTATTTTTACGTTTGTTACCTTTTTGCACTGTAATATTGTACAGTTGGATGCTGCAATTCAGAGACTGATGTAATGTAAAGCTTGCTGACAACTATGTGAGTAAATGAAAATGTATTTGTTTCTCCACTAAAGAATAAAAAAATAATGAGAATGGAAGCTTTTAGTTATTTAAGTTCTAAATATGAACTAGTTTACTTTAGGAAAAAAAGAGTTGAGTTGGGAAATAATCACATATATACGAATATATGCCTGTACGGCACTCATTGTGAATGCGCATTAGGTTCCCTCTTATAAAATCCCATTGAATATAAGCAATATGGTTTCCATGGTGATTGCTCTACGTAAGAGCTTTGCCTAAGAATTACTTTGTCCTTCTTGTATACCTCGGTACTATGTATTAAATTTGTTGGTTAATGTGCAAAGTACCCTTAATGCTCTTACCAGTTTTAGGGGCTTTGAACCAAACGATAAAGGGTTCTCTGGAAAATGCATCTGGATCTCCAGGCTGCATGTCATGGTACTGATAGGTTTCCTTCACCGAGACGAGCTGATTCCTTGGTGTAAATAAACCAAAATAGTATAAATGACTGTAGCACAAGATGCATCAATAATGTATAATTTAGCTGGGACAGTAAAAACCCACCTGACGCGCAAAAGTAAAATATCAAGTTCTGTGTAGTGTAAATAGTTAATCTTAAATGAGTTTCTGGTCCTAATTCTTTTGTCAATCTTTTTTAGGTACTCAGAACAATGGAAATGTATGAGAATATCACAGAATTCCAGTAGGAAAACTCACAGTGGTATATATTGAGTATTAGAATACCTAGATCCACAACAAAATTACTTACAAATACCATGCGGTGTCCGTGACACTATCTCGGTTATTACCAGTTATGGATGATGTTCATAAGTGGATCACAGAGCTCCATTGCAAAAAAAACTCCCAGCAAACTGAGGTATGTGTGAGGGCATCACAGTGCTCCCAACATGAAAATTCTGTGTTAAGAAGCATATATGAATTGAACCCAGTGATCCATAGAAATAAAATATACCATGATGATGAATGCTGCGTATTGATGTATCACCGTGTTCCTTAGCCACTTAGTTTAATAAAACTCACATTAGTGTGAGCTGTATATAGGCGTATAACAGAGCTCCATCACAATCATACCCACAGTAATATTCAATATGTATGAGAATATCACAGATCTCCATCGGACTGAAATTCCTAATAATGTACTTTTATGTGACTTACAACAGCGCATGCATTTATACACTGCCCTCATGTAAAAAAGAATGAATGAGAAGTCAAAGTATGTTTCATTTACATTTGTGAGTGCTTTCCAACTCTGTTTAAAAAAAAAAAAAAAAATAACCAGTCAGTGGTGCTGGAATATGTGATATGCTGTACACTTCACAGTATAAAATTCACAAAATGTTTTATGGCTTGCTCTCTTTTACAGCCGACAGATAATGCTTGGAGCTAAAGTGTAAGTGTTTTTTTGTTTCTTCAGAAGCCATGCGCCCAACATCACACAACAAAATCAGGATGAGTTTTCATGATCGATTCAAATACATTTGAATATCACTTTATCCCACTGTTTCCACCTTAAGGTGCAGAGTGATTTTAAGTCCTCTATAAATATTTTATGATGTGTACGGAACAATAAAGTTGGTTCATTATACAGGCTAACTACTTCTCTACTGGCTTCATTTTTCTGTAGGCCCACATAGAGTCTGTAGTTACTTACCTATAAATAAACGCATACTGCTCCTTGTATGTGTTCCGACCAAGCCTTTTACTTATTATTAAGCTGTATTCGTCCTTCATCTCTGTTTGGCTGCAAAATATGTAAATTCTTGTCAGAGTGTAAATGTGATCGGCAGAGTGACATACATTAGATGTTTTTTTGTTTTTTTTTTACACAGCCACTAATGCTGCTGCAGTTAAACATCTTTTGGGGGCAATTTCTACTTTTACCTTGTGTTCTCCTATAATGCTTGGCCCATAGTGTGTTTACGAATTCTCATAATGCATCTGGCCAATATTGTTTTTAAGAGTTCTCATATATTACCTGACTGGTATTCTAATAAAATGTACCCTCATCTAAACTGCCTTTGTGCAGAGAAAGACTACAATTCCACAGGGGCCAAGGAAGTTTACCAGCGTAGGGCCCCTGCATTTACTCTTCATATAGAGATAGTGAATGGGCCCAAGCATTCTGAAAGTTCTAGGGCCCCTGTCTAATTCCATGGGCCTAGGCAGATGCCTTAGTTATGATTAATCCTGCCTTGTCAGTTTAGGGCCCCTGTATTTACTCTTCATATAGAGATAGTGAATGGGCTAAAGCATTCTAAAAGTTCTAGGGCCCCTGTCTAATTTTGTGACCCTAGGCAGATGCCTTAGTTATGACTAATCCTGCCTTGCCAGTTTAGGGCCCCTGCATTTACTCTTCATATAGAGATAGTGAATGGGCTAAAGCATTCTAAAAGTTCTAGGGCTCCTGTCTAATTCCGTGGCCCTAGGCAGATGCCTTAGTTATGACTAATCCTGCCTTTTTGGGTGGGATCATTCTGATACGTAACAGGCTTAGGTTCTCTTGCATAATAGCACAACTTGTTTAAGACATTAGGGGGACTATCTGAAGGGCAAGCTATTAAGCTTCCCGTCATTGTTGATAGAAATCTCACAGATTGTCTGGCCAGTATTGTTAAAGTATTTAAATTCTACCTGTTGAGTAAATCCATCAAGGAATGGATTGCTTTATCCTTGTTGTCTTTGATTTCCATTAGAAGCATTAAGTCACAACGAGATACAATCTATGAGATAAAGAAATTAGATTTTTATCAGTTCCGATCCATAACATCAGAGTTTTAGAGAGATTAAGATAAAGAAGGTAAATTGTGTAAAAAAAAATAAATAAAAAGCCATAAGACAAATGGGAGTAGACGTTATGCTCTGCTTACTCTCAATGCCAAGTGACCTTTGTAGGAAGTAGAGAAAATAGTTGCGGAGATAGAGTGCCAGTAACAAGTTAAAAAAAAAAAAAAAGGGGGTCCAGCAACATGCGGAGGAAGAGGACCAGTAACTGATTTCTTCATCCACATTTCACTATCCTCCTTTCTTTTCAAATCACTGCTCCCCTTACTCTTCAGGTCACTTGTCTGTTTCCTGCATGAGACAACTAGTATCAATTCACTAGTGCAGGGATAGGCAACCTTTGGCACCCCAGATGTTGTGGACTACATCCCCCAAAATGCTCTTACACCCATAATGCTGGGAAAACATCATGGGAGGTGTAGTCCAAAACATCTGCAGTGCTGAAGGTTGCCTATTTTTAGACTGAACCCTTGGAGAACTCAGTTTTTAAGGAGCTTGTCCAAAGTCAGTTGACTTTGTTGTGAACATTAAAAAATATACAAGTGCAATCTTAACTAAGAGGCAGAGGCCATTGACAAACTGTAACAAGGCAAAGTGACTTTATCAAGTGAGGTGGAGGTGAGGTCCAGTGGCGTGGAGGACAAGTCACTGCTCCCTTCCTTATAATCAAAAAAAGGTGCGCTATACCTTTAAAAACTGTGAAATGTTAATACATATACACTAAGTGCAAATAATAAATGAAAAGTGCAATATAAAAAGTGCAATGTGCAAGTATTTGAATATTCTGTGTATAAAGTGCACAAATAAGTGCATAAAAAGAATTAAGTACGGTCCTGCACTGAAGCACTACATTACATTCTAAAAAGATAATACAATAGGTTACAGTAATTAAAACTACAGATCTATAAAGATAATAATAAAGACAGTAATATGTCTATCATTAAGGTATAACTTCCACTAGCAAGTCCAAAAACGAATAATTTTTCTAAAAAAATTTATAAAATATTAAAATGTCAAATAAGGTGTAAATAAAAAAAAAAAATAGATTAGTCCACAATGACTAAAGATCCCTTTTAGGCTATTGTGATAAGTGTAGCAATCTGATCTCAATATTGTTACAAGATGGATAATGCAAAAAAGTTACAGCAATTTAGACCTGTGTGACAAATATTCTAGTACTCATATGGATGATAGGAGAGTTCAATACCCTGTATATAACCATTATTCTGAAAATATGAGTATATGCAAACATGTAGACTCTGATAGAGTTAATTCCCACAAGTAATTTAGTACCTGTAATAGAGAAACAAAAGAAACCATAGTGCTCACTGCAAAACAGTAATTTTTTAATAAAAAAATTTAAAATGTTCAAATAAGTGAAGTAAGAAGAAGCCTGTCAGATGATCCCTGTGTAGGAAGCTGTTGCTTGTAGTACCCTATTTGTGTAGCGTCAACGTTTCGGACCTGTTCTCGATCCTTTCGAACAGGTCCGAAACGTTGACGCTACACAATAAAATGTGTTTATTTTTTCACTAATTAAGACGGTCGAGTTCCCACTTTTCTTTGCTAAAATATTTGGATATATATTGGTTCCAGCGTGGTGCACAGAAATGGGATAACGGTGAGTGCCCTCATCCTTGCATTGTTTATATATATATATATATATATATATGAAACAAACGTTTGCCAGCACTCCTGGATTTCCAACATCAAAATACTTTATTGTCAAATCGACGTTTCAGTCCCTAATCTGGGACTTTCATCAGGACATTCATCCCGGATTAGGGACTGAAACGTCGATTTGACAATAAAGTATTTTGAGTGCTGGCAAACGTTTGTTTCATATATCACAGTGTGGCTGAGCAACCGGTATCTTTGGCTGGAGGTAGGAGTGCAAAAGTTCTTATATTATATATAAACATGTAGACTCTGATAGCGTTAAGTCCCACAAGTGATTTAGTACCTATAACAGGTAGAGGTTTTTTTCTTCAGTATATACAGGGTATTGAATTCTCCTATCATCCATATGAGTACTAGAATATTTGGCGCACAGGTCTGAATATTACAACATCTCTATATTGCTGTAATTTTCTTGCATTATCCATCTTGTGACAATATTGAGATCATATTGTTACACTTATCACAATATCCTAAGAGGATCTTTATTTCTTAACACTGTGGAAATTTTGGACTAATCTATTTTTTTTAATTTTTATTATTTACACCTTAATGTACATTTTTATATTTTTATATATATATATATATATATATATATATATATATATATATACTTAACATTTGGTTTTTTTTTTTATTTGCTAGTGGACACCCCATTGATAGACGTAGAACTGTGTTCATTATTATCTTCATATATTTGTATTTTTAATTACTGTAACCTAGTGCATTATATTGTTTATTGCTCCTGGTTAGCATGCTATCTCTGTAGCTAGGGTATTTATTCTATATGGGTGAAATATGTGAGATAGACACTATGGGATTGGCTTGTATTGATTGTGTTGTATGGGTGCAGTACGTTGAATGTGCAGTTTTAAACTATGAGTTGTGGATAATGCTTGCTTGCAAGATAAAAAGGTACTGGCTGTCCATGGAGTGTCTCAAACATTTCCCTGCCTAGCAATTATCTAACACCCTTAAAAATGTCTAAGATCCTGATGGAAGAAAACAGTACACCGGTGTTCACTACCTTCTCTACCTCCACTTTACTTCTTGCATAGCTGGCCCCTTTGTAAAGTTCCGTAAATGGCTCATCTGGACTGTAATACCAGTTGTATATATGTACTAGAACGATAGCTCTAGCATGTAAGCTTGTTTGAGGGACCTCAGCTACCTATTGTTCCTGTTACATTTTGTTATTGTCTCATTTGGTAAATTCCTCTCTTATTGTAAAGCGCTGCGGAATAAGCTGGCGCTATATAAATACCAATATTAATAACAATAATTTATTGTTGTATTTTATTTGTTGGCTGTATGCTAGTGGTTCAAATACATTTGACATATTACTTTCCATGAAATTCATAAAATCATGATTTTCATATGCTATTAATATTTTTTGGAAAATGGTGGACTGTGGAGGAATTAATAGAAACATACACCAAACAAGAAAGTGGCTCAATCCTTATATTTTTTATAGGAGTATTTTTATTCTAATGCACTGCAGGAATTTATGGACACAGTAGGAGTTTCTAAAACTCTTCTATGCTGTCCCTAAGATGACCTATGTACATAAATAGCCAGCCCCCTCTGACAGAAATGGGCTAGATGGTGGATTCAAGGTGCTAACTGAGGTCTCACAGGCTGCCATTTTTGGGCACATGGGCCTAGGGCTCAAAAGTATGGTTTACAGGTGGGATGGAGAAACACAGAGCTCCCCCTTCCAACCAGTCATTCTCTGTAGTGTGGCCTCATGATCCGCAGTAGATCTTCTTCAGGGAGCCAGTCCTGGGGGGAAAAAGTGTGGGAACTCACCAAAGAGCTCCACCAGCTCATCATGGTTGCAGGGCCCTGTGTTTGTTTTGCACAGTACACAGTCTTGTCTGTGATGTCCCCATAAGTGGGACACCAAAGAAGAAAATTCTAAAATGTGTTCGAGGCAAGTTCTTAACTTGCAGGTACACATAAGCTCTCACTGACACCCACACTGACAGACTTTCCCATGTGGACATGCACAAACTCACTGACACTGCAACTCCTAATGTAAGGACAACCGAGTAAAAATATTAACTGGCAGGCTCTTGGATATTTTACTAACCAGTAAATACTTTTGGTTTGTTTCTTTTGTTCCGTCCAGCCTGATTATGGACTAGGCATGTCAGACCTATACCTAATCCTTAACTAGAGTGGGGGACCCAACTGAGGTCTCAAAGCAATGAACAGCTGGGGGGAAAGGGGGTCTGACCTGTTGCAAGGGAAATACCCTTCTTGAACTCCTTATAGAGGCAGAAACCAGTCTTGGCATGACACACAAACTTACCCATACAAACACATGGTGACTCATACAAACACAAATTGACCCATACACACACAGACTGACTGATACAAACAAGACTTACTCTTACACAAACAGACTGTCCCTTACATACAGAGACAAAACCATCCATACACATAGACTGACCCATACACACACACACACACACACTAACCCATGCAAACACAGGCTGAATTTTACACACACACACTGACCCATAAACACAAACAGATCTATCCATACACACACAAACTGACCGATACACACACTAACCCATACAATTACACACAGACTTACCCACACAAAAACAGACTGACCCACACGCACACACACACAGATTGACCCATACACACTCATAGACTGACCCATACACTCAAACACAGATCCATACACACACAGACTGACCCATACACACTAACCCACACAAGTACACACAGACTTACCCATACACATACTAACCCATACAAACATAGACTGACAAATACACACACACACACACACTAACCCATACAAACATAGACTGACCCATACACACTTACAGACTGACCCATCCATACCCAAACTGACCCATACACTCAAATATGGATTGATACACAAACAGACTGACCCAAACACATGCACACACTGCCCCACTGCCTTGCCCTGACCACTTTTTCCTCAGCAGGAACACCATTCAGAACACCATCATTCCCATGTGTTCCTGCAGGACTCCAGCCCTGCCTATCTATCCCTGCCCTCTCACACTCATCCTCCACTTTCTGTCACTCACCATTCACACGCTATCCCTGCTCTCTCACATTCACCCTCCACTCTCTATCCCTGCTCTCTCGCACTCACCCTCCACTCTCTGTCATTCCTCTCTGTCACTCACCCTCCACTCTCTATCCCTGCTCACACTCACCCTCCACTCTCTATCCCTGCTCACACTCACCCTCCACTCTCTGTCCCTCCCCTCTGTCACACTCACCCTCCACATCTGTCACTCACCCCCCACTCTCTGTTCCTGCTCTGTCCCTCTCACCCTCCACTCTCTCACTCCCACACTGTGTACCTGAGTCCCTCTCCCCCTCCTGCCTGCAGACAATCCCTGATAGTGGTTAGCAGAAGATGCACCTTCCCATCACTTTGTTGCTATGCGATAGCCAGGATACCGACACTAGGTATCAGGCTGGCGGTCACTGGGCATGCGCACTGAGTTACAAAATATCCGGAGCTCAGACTGGGAACTTCTCCACATTCTATCAGCACATGGACCGCCGCTCTCCGGCTATTCACTTTGGGGACCGCCAGCTATCAGGCATTCCTCTATAACCAAAGTGCAGGAATGCCGTTCCCAAGCGTTCCTGCAGGAATCGAGCCCTGATCTTCCTTTAGCTGGTCTGACAGGGGCTGCTTAATGTAACTGGACTGGAGGGAGTGGGAAAGAAGATCTTTTAATGGCGTCCACAACGCAATGCTATAATAGGAGGTAACCGCATCAAAATGAGAGAGGAAGAGACAATAAATGGGGGTGAATTCAAAAAAGGAAGGTTGAGTGACACAATCCTACTCAAGTACAGATGTGGGGTGGCAAACGTAGTGTTTGTCTGTTCAGCCAAAAATCCTTGCACCAGTGGTGGAGGGATTATAAAGCCAATTATATTTGCAAAGTATTACACCAATAGATACTCTGTGCAGACAGGGAAAAAGCACCTTCTTGAATAATAACCTATGTAAGCAGAAACATCGTTCGAGTCCCTGGGCTGCCCAATTAAAAAAAAAAAACAGACTGTAATTCAGTTCACAATGAACTTAAGCAATACCTGACGTAAGTCTTCCAACATTATACCAACGTTGCAACCTCTGCTAATGCCACATTTATAGAGAAATTACAATAAAAAGGTGTGATCTTACTGAATAGCACAATGCCTGGAGACATCAGATATTTCCCAGAAATGTTAGTTTACTACCTATCCTACAAGTCTGTACTAGAGTCAGTGTAGCCTCTCGTCTTTTTAATGATAGGGAGTTTAAGAGGTATCCAGATTTTTTGAGTTTTTCTGACATGAAACCATAAATAATAAAGAAAGGTGTGATTTACAGATTTTACTGCTGGAGGAGAAACCCTGTTCATTTAAAAGTTTAATAACCGATTTATTAAAGGGACACTATAGGCACCCATGTCACTTCATCTCATTGAGAAACTGCAGTGTTTACATAGCAGGGTTAAGACTGTTTAACTGCCTGCTTCCTGCTTGTTTGCCTCCGAGAAACGATGCCGGGGGTTCTCACTCTGTGCATGAATACATCCAGTGTCTAAAAAATCCCAATAGGAAATCAATAAGGAAATGCTATCCAATGGGAATGGCCTAATGCTCACCGTGTCTGCGCATCAACTCCTTGCCATCAGCTGGCGTTGGCTTGCCAACATCGGCAAGTGGGGCACTAGTATCGTGTAAGTGTAAAGGTGTTTTTTTAACCCTTTATTTGCCACTGGAGGCTGGGGATGCAGAGGGGGCTAGAAGGTACTAGAAAAACCGTTTCATATTCCTAACAATATACATTTCCTTTAAAGATCTTTTTTTATTTACGGTATTTATTTTCATCGTCCGAGTGTTTCTGTAGAAGATTGCACAAATATTTGCTGTAAGATTTTCCTTTCTGAAAACAAGATTTTTTAATATATATATATATATTTTTTTATCTTTGTGCAAATGTGGTCCCAAGTTGCACCATAATTTTTAATGTTTTAGTGACTTTTGATTTAATATTGTTAAAAATGCTTTCTAAGTGATTTTATATTTTTTGGATACACTTTTAAAATGACTTTTTATTATGAAAAATATTTTAAAAATGTTTAAGATTGCTTTGGATGTTCATAAAGTTATGCAGAAGTACAAATAAGCAAAACAAGTCTGAGAATTTAAAACGAGTGGATTCGATGGGTTGACTACTTCTCATCTGCTGGCACAATATATGATTCTACAATTCTATATCCTTCAACATTTAAGACCTTATGAACTCTTTGCAAAATCAGCTTTTAAATCAAGTCTTATGTAAGTGCTCATAATCCACATACCAGTCTGAAATTAGTGAACCTTAGGGATATGCCAATATAAATCATCCTGCATTTACCATACAAAGTATGCATTAGTGAGCACCCCCTCAAAAATATATAGTTGGGAAACTCTGAGTATATTGGTAAAGCCATTAAAAAATTGTTAAGTGTTGAAGAAAAAATTGTTCTATCGAACTAGCCTGTACATGATGGAAACATTTTGTATTTGCTGATCTGATAGTAGGTTGAAAATGAGAACATACCTTCACAATGAGGGCCATCACCTCGGGTTTGGCACATTTTGCTTCTCCAAAGGATCTGACATTAAAAGAGCAGATGGTGAGAGATTCAGTCTCAATTAAATAAAGACTAAAGAGCAAAAATAAAAATATCATGATTCCTGGGTCATAAGCAACAGAGGAGATGTGTGTTGCCGGGTGTCCCTCTAACAAAATGAGGATCTACTATCTATATCCCTCTGCACAACAGAAACAGGAATAGCAAGTTCTGTCTTTTCCCTTTCTGTTCAGGGACGTTGTATTTTTGGCTGTGAGCCTGACCATATAACTCCCACTTCCCCTTATTATACACTAAAATAACATTAATACCCAAGTTGGTTTACCAAGATAGCGTGGATCTGGATAGTTAAATGAAGTTATGGAGCAAGCAGCTGTTAACAGCAATGTCTAAGCAAAAGGTATTTGGGAGCCTCCTCCATTAATGTGCTTCTATAATTTATTTTAACAAAACAGCTCCTTTTTGCATTATGTAGAACCTGGCCGTTCTGAGGTGGCTCCAATGATGCAGAAGTTTCACTTCTGCTTAATCAGTCATAAGCTGTACAACCTTGGATGGTGATGATAGCTTTCGAACGCTGTGGAACTATACACATGTAAAAGTTTAAAGAAACATCTAGCACTAAAACAACAACAAACTCATTGGATTAAAATAAAAATAAACAATGCAGCAGAACTTCACTTGACATGTCTCGCCCACCAAACTTCTGGAGTAAAAGGGAATCATGAAATGTCACACATGTCATGTGTCCTTAAGGGGTTAAACCAACAGAAAATAATGTTAATCTACTTTGCAAAAACCACGTATGGTACACACAACATACCACTACCTAATCGGATCCTCTGGCCACCCTAACACTTTCATTCTAATTAAGCTATTATTGTTCTTAGAGTCTCCTGGCACCGTCTTACCTATAATTGTTAAAGTATTTTAAACCATTGTGAGTACATTTTAAAAAAAAAATACAGATCTTTGTGCAATGTGGTCCTAAATAGCAAAAGGCAATCACTGACATTCTCAGCCAATCACTGCCATCCCCTCACTGCTAATGCTTCCCCATTAGCATGGAGTGAAGAGGAGTTCCGCAGACCAACATATATTAAAGGAATACTATAGTCAACAGAACTGTTTGAGCTTATTGTATTTGTTCTGGTGAGTATAATCATTCCCTTCAGGCTTTTTGCAGTAAACACTGTATTTTCAGAAAAAAATGCAGAATCTGCAGCACTGCCATTCAGTGTCTCCTGCCTCTGCATGGAGACACAGAACTTTCCTCATAGAGATGTATTGATTCAATGCATATCTATGAGGAGGTGCTGATTGGTCAGGGCTGTGTTTGACTTGTGCTGGCTCTGCCCTTGATCTGCCTCCTTGACACTCTCGGCCAATCCAATGCTTTCCTATGGGAAATCATTGTGATTGGCTCTGATCACCACTTCTGATGATGTCAGCCAAGCAGGCAGATCAGGGGCTAAGCCAGCAGAAACAGAGTGAAAAAAAGTAAGATTTTTATATATTTAGGGGGCAAGTGGGGTCCAGATGGTATTTTTAATATGTTTGTGTTCCTGACCTTATAGTGTTCCCCCTGGCCCCCACCCCTGAGCGGCGGGTGAGGGCCCTAAATCAGAATAAGGGGGGGACCTAAGGTCCTCCCGCCTGGCCCTCACCCCTGGGCAGTGGGTGGGGGCCCTAAATAAAAAAAATAACCCCCCCTCCCCTGGGTGACTAGGGGTCCCCAAACCCCTAGTCACCCCCTCCCCCAAAAAATTAACCCCTACCTACCCCCCCTCACCCTTTCTTCCTTCTAAAATCTTCCTTCTAAAATAACACTCTGACTGGTTACTTAATCCACCAATCAGAGTGTTATGAGTCAAATTACACAGCGTGGGAAAATTCCAAAGAACTTTCCCACGCTGTGTAAAATGACACAGAGCATTCTGATTGGTAGATTTCAAACCAACCAGAGTGCTGTGACAGGTAAATGTAGAGACTTACTTGTCAGTCTCTTCATTTACCTGTCAGAGCACTCTGATTGGATGGCTTAAACCCACCAATCAGAGTGCTCTGAGCCTAATTGCAGGGCAGGGCAAGGCTTTATAAGCCCTGCAGAGCTCAGTCTGCGCGGAGCCCTCGCCGGTTATTATGGCTTTTTATTTGGCCTTTTTTGTGGCTGAAAAAGAAGATTTTAGAAGAAAGAAAACATCAAATGGTAAGTATATTTTTTTTTCCAGGTACTTAGTTAAATGGTCCACCCTCATTATTTTTAGGGTGAGGGGGGTAGGTAGGGGTTAATTTTTGGGGGGAGGGAGGTGACTAGGGGTTTGGGGACCCCTAGTCACGGTTTGGGGACCCCTAGTCACCCGGGGGAGGGGGGGTTATTTTTTTTATTTAGGGCCCCCACCCACCGCTCAGGGGTGGGGCCAGGGGGGAGAACATTAGGTCCCCCCCCCTAATTAGTATTTAGGGTCCCCACCCACCGCTCAGGGGTGGGTGCCAGGGGGGAGGACATTAGGTCCCCCACCCTAATTAGTATTTTAGGGCCACCGCTCAGAGGTGGGGGCCAGGGGGGAGGACATTAGGTTCCCCCCCTAATTAGTATTTTAGGGCCCCCACCCACCGCTCAGGCGTGGGGGCCAGAGGGGAGGACATTAGGTCCCCCCCTAATTAGTATTTTAGGGCCCACACCCACCGCTCAGGGGTGGGGGCCAGGGTGGAGGACATTAGGTCCCCCCTAATTAGTATTTAGGGCCCCCACCCACCGCTCAGGGGTGGGGGCCGGGGAGAGGACATTAGGTCCCCCCCAATTAGTATTTTAGGGCCCCCACCCACCGCTCAGGGGTGGGGGCCGGGGGGGGGCAATAGGGGGCTCGGGAGGGGGGACCCATTTAAAAAAACAAAAACATTTTTTAACAGTGAGCAGCCACTGGCTGCTCACTGTTTAATAGACATGCCCCTACTCGCGGTATAGCGAGTCGGGGCACAATTTACTAATACTAAGTAATTTTTACTTAGTATTAGTAAATTTGTCTGAAAGACCAATTTAGGTCTTTCAGCCTTTTGGTAGATAACTCCCTAATACCATGGTAATTAGGGAGTTATCTACCAAGCGGCTGCAAGAGAAGTTCCGAAATTCCAAAGTGCCAAATTGCTGAGGTCCCGAAGTTCTGAAATTACCGAAGTTCCGAATTTCGGAATGCCGAACCGAACCAAAACATTTTCCCATGCACATGCCTATGGGATAGTGCACAAGTAACTCTTTTCTTTGGTTTTTATTGTATGTTCTAACATTAAAATAATGATTTCCAGGGACACTCCATATATCCCATAGTATAAATCGATGACATTGTATTGTATTCCTAGTAAGTAACAAAAACAGGCTCCTAAACAGATTTTGATCTGCCCTTGTAATGAAAAATCCTAGGTGGAGGATGGAGGGAACGGATTTCAAGAGATCAAATAAAGACCATAGGGTGCTGGGTCTTTAAAATTGTTTTAGCACAACAAAAGGGTCATAATATATGGAACAATAGGTATTACTGGTGAGAAGTTATTTAGCAATGATAGAAAAAAGCAGTAAATGGGAGATGTATGGTTCAATGTAAAACCTGAATAAAAGCCTAGTGTAATAAAGGGACATTATAGTTACAGAGGTCATCTCCTGGGTAAAAAAGCGTGGGAACTCACCCAGGATCCACAATCCCCCCTCCCCCCCCCCACCCGCCGCCAAAAAATAATTATACGCTTGTATGCAGGGGCTGAGTAAGGGCACGGGGCTGAGGAAGAGGGAAAGGAGCTTGGGGGTGGGGGGGGCAGGGGATGAGGAAGGGGACAGGGATTGAGGAAGGGGGGCAGGGACTGAGGAAGGGGGACAGGGACTGAGGAAGGGTGACAGGGACTGAGGAGGAGGACAGGGATTGAGGAAGGGGGACAGGGACTGAGGAAGGGGGACAGGGACTGAGGAAGGGGGACAGGGACTGAGGAGGGAAAAAAAAACCAAACAACCTAAAGTGCCTTCCCCCGTCCCTGAGGCTTACCTTGGGCCAGGAGGGGTGGGCCAGGATCTGGAGCCAGCAGCCAGTGAAGTCGGCCTCTCCTGATGATGTCAGGAGGAGGGGCGTGACTACCTCTGCTCTTCTAGACTCCCCAGCGGTCCTGTGAGAAGAGCAGTGAAAGTCACGCCCCCTCCTCCTGACATCATCAGGAGAGGCCTGCAGGCTGCAGGTAGAGAGGTGAGTTTAGAAATCAGCGTCCCCACTCAGAGGCAGGGGATATGGATTTGTGCTTCCCCCTGCTCTGGCGGACGCTTGTGCCAGGCCTGGGTCCTGCAGGACTAGTAACTGGAACGGCATTCCTGCTGGGAAAAAGTGCTCAAGCGCTGTATAGTTACAATAACAACTTCATGTTGGTTTTGGTGTCTATAGCTTGTCCCTGCAGGCGTTTTAATGCAAACAATGCCTTTTCAGATAGAACTACAGTGGCAGTCACTCAGACAGCCCTAGAGGTGCTTCCTGGGTCAGTGCTGAATAGTCAATGCTGAACGCTCCCCATAGAGATGCATTGATTCAATGCATTTCTATGAGAAGATGCTGATTGGTGCATGCAAAATAGCCTAAAACATATTGGATTGGCTGAGATTGTCAAAAGGGAGCTGGTACCCTAAACTGTGATTTTAGCACTATAGTGTTAGGAATACACATTTGTGTTTCTCTAACTATAATCTTTCTTCAAAGAAATGATTCATGGGGGAAAGAATGAGAATGGATACTCTACAAAACCTACAGGCTACTTTCTCCCTGGACTAGAGGGATGATTACAGTTGTGCCCAAAAGTTTGCATAATCTTGCAGAAATTGTGAAATTTTGGCATTGATTTTCAAAATATAACTGATCATGGAATATATATATATATATATATATATATTATTGAAGGATAGTGGTCATATGAAGTAATTAATAATCACATAGTTGCTTGGCTCCTTTTTAAATTATAATGATAACAGAAATCACCCAAATGGCCCTAATGACAAGTTTACATACCTTTGAATGTTTGGCCTTGTTACAAACACAATGAGACACACAGCTTAAAATAGCACTTAAAGGTTAATTTTACAACATGACAGGAGGCTTCATATTTTGCATTAACTTTCTTTACTAACTCCATAGCAGCAAAGAAAAAACAGT